AGGAAAAGAGGGAGGAGGAGGAAGAGAAGAGGGAGGAGGAGGAAGAGGAGGAGTGGAGTAGTGGGAGGAGGAGGAGAGGAGGAAGAGAAGAGGGAGGAGGAGGAGGAGAAGAGAGGAGGAGGAGGAGGAGGAGAAGAGAAGAGGGAGGAGAGAAAAGAGGGAGGAGGAGGAAGAGGAGAAGAGGGAGGAAGAGGAGAAGAGGAGGAATAGAAGAGGAAGAAGAGAAAAGAGAAGAGGGAGGAGGAGGAAGAGGAGAAGAGGGAGGAGGAAGAGAAGAGGGAGGAGGAGGAGGAGGAGGAGGAGGAGGAGGAGGAGGAGAACTGGTGTTCTCTGACCTTTTGTTCTTGTTGAAGACTACCTCCTTTGGCTGAGTCATGAAACATGCAAGAAAACCACCCGGCTCAGAGAGCCCCAAGGACCCCACAGTCCTTCTCCGCCTCCTCTTTCTCCCTGCAATCCCTCCTCCCTTCTAGCACTGATTATATTACCCAGCTGGGTCATGAAACGTCTGAAAGGAAACCACCCTGCTTCCAGAACGCCAAGGTCTCCTCCACCTTTTAGCTACCAGCTCCCAACATTTTCTCTCTCTTCAGATATCTCAACCTCAGGATCATCCAGGCCAAATTGGAAAGATTGGGACCAAGTTTAGAAAGCAGAGGCCGGAAACATTTGGCAAGGAAAAAAACCCAGCACAATTGTCTTTTGTTTCAGAGTCCAACATTCATCTACCCATTCAAAAAAAAACCCCGCCTAAAACCCTGTCACAAAATGAATCTTGTAAAGAAGCAGGAAATTATCTGTGTTGTCCAAAAGAATCTGAATAATCTAAATAATAATAAATAATAATCTAAATAATCCACTTTGTCCAAAAGAAACTAAAGTCCCAGAAAGTCAATTCTGGTTGCAACGTCCCTCTGGCAGAAATGTCGCCATCTCTGCCAGTTGTGACACACATCTGGGCATGCTGTGCAGGTGTGCAAGTGACACACATCTGGGCATGATGCGCAAATGTCTTAATAGCAGAACTTTTCAGGGTTCGGGCTTGTAGTCATTGGTTGTTGCTGCACAGATAGTCCTTAACTTACCACAATTCGGCCTAAAATATATATTGCTAAACCAGTCAGTCGTTGAGTTATGCCCCCTTTTTAACCCCCCCCTTTTCATACCAGTCATTAAGCGAATCACTGCAATTCTTAAGTTAGTAACACGGCTGTTAAATGAACCTGGCTTCCCCCCGTTGTTCGTCAGACGGTCGCGAAAGGGGATCGTGTGACTCTGCGACCATCGTAAATATGACGCCAAGCGTCCGAATTTTGATCGCGCAGCCACGCTGCAACGGTCGCAAGTGCGAAAAAGAGTCGTAAGTGTGAAAAACGACCGTTAGTCCCCTTTTTTTCTGCCCCCACAAGGCCACTGCAACTCAAAGTAGCTGTTAAGTTGAGGACTAGCTGCACTGAAAGGCTTAGGATAGGGTTTGTCAACCTGCGTGGACTTCAACTCCCAGAATTCCCCTGGCTGGAGGAGTCTGGGCGTTGTAGTCCACAACTCTTAAAAGTTGCCAAACATGATAGAACGCTTTGCCCCCAGCCCCTTGCCCCCACCCCTCTGCAGTCTGAACCCCCCCCCAAATTGCATTATCCAGAAGCTGCACCCCCCCACCCTTCCCCAGTGCCCATCCTCCACGCCTCCTTCTCTCCCTCTCTCCCTCCCTCCCTCCTTGCAGGCTGGAGGGGCTGGGAGTCCATGGGTGGGGGCTGCGTCCCTGTGCTGGCCCTCCCTCTTTTCCCCTTACCCTGAGCCGCCCCCCTTTCCCTTGTCAAAGGGAGCACGCGGGGGGGGGGGTCTTAGAGCACTCCCTCCTCTCTCCCGTGGTTGGCTGGGGAGGATGGGAGAGGGATGCCAGCTGAGGAGGAGGAGGATGGGAGTGGGGGGTGGGAAAGCAAAGTGGGGGGAGGGAGTGTCTTTCAATGGGGGGGGCGCAGTTAGAAGGAATCGGGCACCCAAGAGGGCAAAAATGGGTTGTGGTTCAGATGTGGTGGTGGGGAGACCCTCCCTATTATCCAGCTGGGAGACACCCCATTATCCAACTGGGGGGGAGACCCTCCCCATTATCCAGCTGGCAGGGACCTCATTATCCAATTGG